ACAGTGAGACCTCAACACTGAGTGGATTTTAAAATATAAAAAAAAATCACACAATGTATTCTGAAATCAATCATTCCTCCACCTTTTATTGTACAGCTAGTCTGTGGAGAATAGACAGTGACTAATTTTAATAATTTGGTCAACATACAATGACAAACATCAGTAAACACAGTGGAGTAGGCATAATGTCAGTAATTTACTAACCAATACAAGGAATGATTAACTTTTAGATATAGCCTACATACTGCTTCAAAGTGAATATAATGAATCGTCAATTTATATTCAGTATAAGGTCAATGAACATTTTATGATGACCAGAGGGTTACGTTAACCCCACAAAAAAGGTTAACTGTAAATAGCACTGGTGACCTGCCAGTTAATGGTGTATATAATTAATTAGAAAATTCCACAGTGACAAAACTTACCAGAAAATCATGTAATTCTTCCTCAGTATTTCACTATGACACACTTCATTATACTTCATTACCTTGCCAGGAAAACCTTATAAACAGAGTATATGCACTTTGCCAACTCATCATTTTTGCCGACAATTTTCAAAGAAAGCACAAAGTTGCAGCAAAAAGGCTTGCGATTTCTATTGCCATTTCCAAACTCAGACATATTGATCAGAAAGACCTGCGGACTCGTGGAAGCAATTCACCTCTTAGAAATCAGCTTCTAATTCATTCTGTCAGCTGTCTCCCTTCAGCAAGACACCCACAGAATCTCGATTTCTTAAGGCCCACTACCTGGAATCGGAGAGCTCTTTCCACCATTTTATAATGAGATTAAATGAGTTCAATGTTGGGAGATGCTTCCTGATTTTACGTATATCACAGTGTTTTTACTTTGATTTATACAATAAGGAAAGAGACCAAGACACGGTGGATAAATGAGATTGCACCCTGACTCCCTTGATGTGGCTTAGAAAGAAGAAATAATGAAATTGTGTGGCTTAATACTATGTATAAATTGTTTGCGCAAAAATGAAATGTGATATGTATGAAATTACGAACATGCAAGTTTCTGAAACATCTAGTTCAGAAAAAGAAAAAATTTGAATCTCTTTCTCCTGAAATGGCCTTGACATTATGCATACGTATGTACCTGCTAAAAATAACTTATACATATTGTTTGCTACAAGTGAAACACCTTTGACCTACCAACTCCAAATCATTATCCCATTTACTACAAACTCGGTCAAAAAGATCTTGATTACACGGAAAATGATCGTCAAACATACCGGTACATTCTGTTTAAGCAACAAACAACCTTTCAACATTTCACCCCATTATGAAAGCCATGTAAGCAAAATTCAAAACTTATGGTCATAGTAAAGTGCTATTTTAAACCTAAGCACTTACCTTTCAAAAATTATGGCAAAGTTGGTACTAAAAAGTCTTGTAACAAGGAATACAGTGATATAACGATTTTTCATCGGAACGAAATTTTAAAAAGGAATACCTGCTTCACATATCCGGACAAAGATATATTTACCCGAGATATAAAAGAGCTTCACTGGTTTACATAGTCATTTTAAAAAAGACAGATTATGATGACAGAATCTGTACTTATTATTTCTTTCTGGAAATGTGATTGGTTTGTGCTACATGCATTTATCTCTGAATTTTCAACAAGAGGCCCATTGGGCCACAATGCTCACCTGAATAACTTAAGCCTTATAATTTAAATTACCCCCTGTATATCCCTATGAAAAATTGGGAAGCCATATTGTTTATACATGGCCCACCATAATGCTAAGGATTCTCTGAATCCAAACAACCTGATGACATTTCATTTTCAAATGAATGTAACACTAGCATGACCTTGTAGGTATGGAGATGAACATTCTTTGTATGTATAATATGCATGCATTTTGTAAAATTTGAACTCAAATTTTAGCGAACTATAACAAAAACATTTTAGGAAAATGTATTAAAACCACACAATTTGGAAATGTTGGCAAATTAATGGTTCTATTGTGGTTCATGAGAAGATTTTTGAATTTTTTCAATAGTTGAATTTAAACTTTGATATCCTATTATGTCCTCTTTTATCCTTTAGGAGGAGAGGACCAACATTTGAACAATTTAGAATTTATTTTATCAGGAAAATTTTTCTTCACATAAAGTTTATCTACCGGTATATTCACTTCCACATGTTCTTGAGAAGAAGACTTTTGAAAGCACCAAAATATATTCCTTGTGTAAAAAAATTGATCTTGGAGTTGGACCGCTGCAGCCTTCTACTAAAAGCCATGCTTTGAACATTTCAAAATCTAAATTAATTCAGGAAGTCAAACTTTGATCCCATACTGTAGCCCACCCTATCCTTATGGGCAATGATTTGAATAATTTTGATTCTACACTATTTTACAAAATATTTGCATACAGTTATCTTATTGTTATTGAGTCAAAATTGATTAGATTGTTTTAATGACTACATCCTTTTTTGTATCATCTTGATTATCTCCCCTTGGATTGGGGCTTGGTCCTTTATTTGGTTAATTATCAATTAAGTATTCGCTTTAATTAAGGATGCCTTGTGACACTTTGGTTAAAATTGGCCCATTGATTCTCAAGGTCTACAAAGTATCATAACTGACAGACAGACCTCACTTGAGCTCAGTTGAGTCTTAAGCTTAGTTCAGCTTAAAAAGTTACAGGATGTAAATGAAGTTAATAATTATTAAATGGTAAATGACAAAGTAACTTTTATCCAAGAAAGAAAAAATAGTGATTTGTAAAAATTCTAACTTTCAAATTTTTGTAGTGCACGAAATCAAAAATACAATTTTAGAAAAATATTGATAAGCAGATATACCTTTTATATGTTACAGAACTTGTTGAACTTGCATAAGACAAACTGACACCTTCTAAGAAAAATATGCATTTGGAAAATACATGCATTTTTGGAACATTATAAATTCAAATGACTTGTCAATTTCTTGTTATCTAAATAACCAATTAACCATGCATGCAGACAATGTAAAAAATAGACACCCATCAATTTTCCATTCATAAAGATTATCACAGAATATTCATAAGATTTTCCAGTAATAATCGCCTACCTTGAAAGCCGACCAAGACGAGCTCAGCCCTTGCATCTAGTAACCAGTTCCAGGGTACTCACAGTCTAACATGCACTGTTTTAACTAATAATCTATGTAAACTGTATATTAATATACTGTGGTCGCCTAAACGGTCAGCATGACTAGTGGATCAATAGGGTTGCAGATTAGCACATGCATAATGGTCTCATCCTGTTAAGTTGTCACTTCATCCACACAGCTGTAGCGGTTTAAGACGGGTCTGATTTTACACACTGCTCTAAGTCTCACACCTCGTACCTACATGGATGTGTGTACTACATAAACCCGTACCAGCGCTAGTACATGTTGTAAACAATCCTTTACCAATCAGACAAAAAAAACTTTGATATGACTGATTGCAGTCTGATTTATCATACACATTTGTCTGACATTTTACTTTTGAGATCAATTATCCATATTTACATCTCAACATGCATGTTTAATCTGTTCATATTTAGAGATGTACTTGATTGCTTATTCATTGACTCGTCCCTGATGCAGGGTATGCATAATAAAAAATGCTAGGACTGATGATATGTCCCTATATATTACTGCTGGCACCCACCTGACCTGCACTGAGACCCACAACAAGTACTGTTAACCAGTACATCTATTTAAGCCTCAAAGCTTTATTTTATTAATATTGTCAGGGTTCAATAAGGATTTTCACTTCACCCTCACATTAATTTTATTATTTTAATATTGATTTTTTAATATCATGCAACGAACTTAGTCCATGGTCCCAGTGCAGGGACAAGAGACCTTGTGGCCATATCCCAAGGACTTCTTCCATATTTACCCCTAATGAATCTTCATTATAAAGCTTCATTTGAACTGTATTGTAAAGCCACAAGTGAACTGGGTCCTGCTATTATGGTTGTCCTGCTGTAATATTGCTTCACACTTAAAATTAAGTGGTTCATACATTTGCTTGGTACAGCTTGATTTTGCATAATTCCAGAATTTGGTTAATTTTAGGCATTTCACTGCATGATGCTTAACAAAGGAAGGTCAATTTAATGGGCAAAATAATTTAACATGAAATTGTTCAGTTTCTTCAGGGAAATTCTAGTTTTGTAACATTTAGGTTTCCTTTTGAATTTTTATTCATTTTTTATAAACATGCATGCAATGAACATTTGTTTTGAAATCAAACTGGACACCTTTGCCTTCAGGCATATGGATTACCTTACAGTTCCATCCTGAAATGGCCTTATTTAAAGATTGATAGTTCATGTAGTATTATAATGCCCATTAAATGACCTTCCTTTGTTTTTTGGTTCCAAGTGTTGGCAAAATGAACAGGAGCAGATAACTCTAAATCTTCATGTTTATATTACTATAAACAATGAGGGTCCCAAATAATAAAATGTGAAGTGAATAGATTGTGTCAAATTTTTCTTTTATATCCTTAAAGGATTAAATTTATGGAAGGAAAGCACTTTGTTCTGATGCAGCAGTCATCATATTATAGGCTGCAGAACTAGCCCTAGGGGAATTAGAACACTAAGGCATATTTGGTATGTCTGTCTGAATTTGCAGAGCTTCTGCAGTCAAAAATCTGAATGCAAAAAATTAATTTTTCCATGTATTCCATTTCTGAGTGATGATGTAACACTCTAAGAACAATTGATAATATACTTGATAGATTATGATGAAAACAACAGCTTTCATCATTTCTGTCAAACGACTGGAAATAAGTAACATACAGCCTAGTCTGGAAAATATTCATTGCTTGTCATTTTATGCCAAAATCAATGTGAGACTTAATGAGAACTCAGTGTCATTTTTGACCACACCAAGATATCCTCATTTTTTGTTTTAATATCTAAAACCTAAATATTTTCCCTCCCCTGGCTTTTTTTTTGGGGGGGGGGATATTTCCCCTCCCCTGTTTAACATGTCTTACCTGCTCTGTGCTGTCTGATGGCCCTGATAGGCCAGCCATTTCTGGCATTGGAGGATTCAGCACCTGCAAAAAATAAAGGAGTTATCTCTCTTACTGCCAAAATTGATAAGTTGCATGTATAAACAAGAAGACCACAGGCCTTGATGGTCACCTTAATATTATGAGTTTCTCAGGCAATGACCATTTTAATCAAATCTGGACCTGGAACTCTGGATTTGTATGACAATTATAAAATTCGTACTAATGATTCTATGATCAATAACAGTGTAATTATACTACTGCATATAAAACTTTAATTTACATACTTAAGTAACTCATAAATTGTATAATGAATTTTCAATTACATTACCAATTTTGCTCCTCACTTGGGCCAAGGGGGTCAATTTTACAATTTTTGACAGAGGGATAGATCATAGAAGTAATTTTAATCATGCATACAACCTGCCTGATGGAATCCAAGCAAATGAAGATTTTGAAATGTATAATTATTAAATATAATACTAGTATGCCCAATTCACATGCCTCTGGCCTGATTGCTGCACCTCGGAACATAAAATCCATAATGTTTAGAAAGCTACAGTTGCTCATTTATAATCATGTAAACAGTTTGTATCTTAGTCCATGAATAAATAAAAATTCAGAGGTAAATAAATCAGCAGTTCAAAGTCTGACTGCATGTTTGATATATGTTTCTTGGATGCATCCATGTAAGATTTTTTTTTCCAAGTAGGACTTAAAGTTACTAAGGAATGTCAACCTGCTCCAAAACCCTTAATCTGTTCCACTTGTTAACAAAAACTTGAGAAAAAGATCTGGCATCAAAACTAGGAAACATCTCTAGCTCAAGTCAAGGCCTGTATATTGTATTAAAATGACAGAAAAATGTATCATTCCTAATACAAAATAAAAGGTTTTCAACAAAGCAAAGTCTGCTGTTTCTGGAAACTGAGAGTTTAGGTTCACAAGTTAGAAAAAAAATTTCTGACAATATAAATTTTAACTTCAGTCTTTTTGTGCCCCCGTAATCGAAGATTCGGGGGTACATAGTTTTTGTTGTGTCTGTCTGTCTGTTTGTCCACTTTAACCTTGCCCATAACTTTTGATTTAGTGGAGCTATGACTTTCATTTTTCCTTGCAACAAGGCCTTTCTTTATGTACCACCAAATTTGACCTTTTGACCTTGACCGTGGAGTTTGACACAGTTTTAGACACAAATGCCAAACTTTTACTTTGGCCATAACTTTTGAAGGTAAATACAGGTGACTCTCGATGGCTCGAACTCCGATCTCTCGAAGTTCTCGATCTCTCGAAGTAAACCTCCGGTCCCGTTTTTTTTCCTCTATATAATTAAGCAAATTTACTCCTGATCTCTCGAACTTCTATCTCTCGAAGTTCTCTATCTCTCGAACCAAAATCTTGGTCCCGTTACACATATTTCATTGAATTTTACTCTCTATCTCTCGAAGTTTTGATTGCGCGTTTATACACGCCAATCAAGCGTAAAATTGATGCAGTCTGGACTTACCTGGAAACAATAAACGCCTTGGGCTGGCATGGAGGTGTTAATTGGGTGTTTACATAGACAACACTACACCTGTGGGTCGTCCGTGTTTTGATATAATTAATTGGTTAATTACAGGGTACATTATAAACAAATTCACAACTTATTTCGAATTGAAACTGAGACGATAATTTTTAGAAATTTAATTTATAGATGTTCGTTTTAGTAAGTTCCGATAGACTATGAACTTTTATTATGATTAAATAGAGTCTAAATAATTCCAGCATAGCAAATATTGCACAAGAAAATTCCTTTCTCAAGGACAATACCGATTAAGAAAAATCTGGTGAACACTGGTGAAGGTCCCGATCAAGCCGCGGAATAGCCAAACCGACACTTGCTACTCGGGTTTCATGTAATCATGAAATAAGAACAAATAAATACTGAAGCTTTAGAAATTTGTTTTATTTATTCGAAATACAGTCATCGTTGTTAATATCACGTAAATTACCTGTCAAATACGATTGAAAACGTGCAATGACTTTATTTTCATGTACTTCCGGTATCTATAAAAGTAGAACTTCGGTGATCGGAACTGAAAATTCCGGAATTTTTTTACTTTTTTTTTTTTACTTTCTATCTCTCGAACCCCTCGATCTCTCGAACTTTTCTTGCGGTCCCTTGAACTTCGAGAGATCTCGAGTCACCTGTACTAGGACTTTCATGCTTCACTTATGTATTCTTTGTGAAAAGACCTTCCATTCAACACCAACAACTCTCACCTTTTGACCCTTTGAATGTTAATGGCTAAGGCTTTCACACTTCACATTTGTAATTTTTGTGAGAAGAACTTTCATTCAATACCAAGAACCTTTGACCTTGACCTTGGAGTTTGACCTACTTTTTAAAAACAAACTTGTCCATAACTTTTGAAAGGTTAGGGCTAAGGCGTTCATACTTCACATATTTAATCCTTGTGACAAGACCTTTCAACTTTGATCTTTGACCTTGATGTTTGACCTAATTTTTAAAAATATTAACCTTGGCCATAACTTTTGAACCGATGGTGCACGGACAACCTGATCTGCATTTATCTGGCATAAAAATAGGTCAGACGCAGTATATGATCAACCTACGCATGGCTTGTAAGTTTAAAGCATCTATAGATAAATAATCTCTGTAAGCTGGATCCAGTTAAAATTTATTAATACTTGGGAGATGATTCTGCTTCGAATGCTACCACATGAGCTCTTCTTGGTTTTGTCCAGGTGAGCAAAAATAACTTAAAAACTTAGTTACAATGTTGAAGAGGCCAGTGGAATATTAAATAAAATGACAAGAATTAATACAGCTGCCTTCATGGTCATTTGATATTGCTTGGTTAAGTAAAAGCAAGGTCCATTTAGCAGTTCTATAGTTCAGTGGCCTGAACGAATTGGGATGGATAACCTCGATCAGTACGTTTTTCAGACCTGACTGAGACACAGATCTGCAGCTAAGGTCCACTGACATGGAATAACAACACAATGAGCACAAAGACTACTATTTAAGGGGAATATGTAACACACAATGATGATTTAAACCCATGCAATTGTGTGAAAACATGTATACATGCTAAATTGCAACCTTGGTAATGTTAAACATGTTTTGAGTAACATATGTTGAACATACGTTGAACATATGTTGCAATTTTACCTATATATACAAGTATAAACTGTTTGGGCCACTTTAATTAATATAAAGTCACATTAAGCAATGTGCAAACAAATTTAGTATGATAGTGATGTGCGTGAGTGCATTAAAACATTTGTTTGCAGTACGTCCTCTCCTAATTATGATAACCCTGTAAATTGCAAATATAATCATTTTTTGGATTCATTTGATGCTTCCCACATTGATCTTTTAATTATCCAGTTCTTTGTTTCAAGAAATTATATGTTCAACTAGGCCAATATATCTTATAGATAGTAAAATATGTTCTGGTCCCACTGGGAAAAGTGCTTTAAAGAAATCCAATCAATGTATTCATTAAGAGGGTTTTTTCTTCCTCTGAATATTTATGAGTGTCACACATTCAAACATTTGCATAAATTCCAAGCTAATTAGGAAATAAAAAAAAAAAACCAAACATATGATATGGGTTTTTTCTCTTCTAAATGCAATGTTTAGGAGTGGTGTTCTGAACACCCCAACTAAAGGTTCATACAGATGTCTTTTCCAAAGAGAAATGTGAGTCAATCACACCATCATTTAAATGTAATTGAATGTTGCTTACTATCACAGGGTGAAACCATTGCCACATTACAAATTGTTTTTAAAAAATTAAGTAAATATTAAATAACAAACTTCTAAAAATGAAGCATTCTTATTTCACCTTCCCAACAAAAAAATTTTCAAGAAAATTTAAAAATAATGCTCAGACATTGAAATCAAGTTTTGAAATAATTATTTTATTTTTTATACATTCATGTTTTTTTTTTTACCACTCAAATGATAATAACCTAGTTAGATTGAAGAAATATTGTCATATTGGTATTATTTTGAATTATTTACAAGGTATCACCAAAAATCAGCTTATTTCAGTGATACTGTAGATCACTTATTTTACGCGACACCTTATTTTCGCGAGATGGTCATTGACTGTTGATAAGCGAGACAAAATTTTCACGAATTGTGGTTATTGCTCTATATAATCTTAAGGAATACTATTAATCGCGAGAATGTAATTTTCGCGAGCACACTGCCTCGCGTAATTACGCGAAAATAAAGTTCTCGCGAATAAAAAGTGATTTACAGTATACAAATGATGGAAAATTATCTCACAGAGACATATAATTCTGTAGGAGTCATATATTGTCATGATTTTTGCTTCAGTCTGAATATTGACTTTTTGGTATAGTTTCATTACGATACACAAGAGTACAACATTTTGTTTAGGTGGTATTTAGCTTTAGCATTAATGCTAATGATGATCTGAATAAAATATTAATCTCAGTTTAGCTAGCTGGCATTCTGCTTGCATGTGAGAAATTTTTATTAATGCAATCACACAAAAATGAGGACTCTGCATTCATTGCAGCAGGATCTGAAAATCTGTGGAAGACATGCTTCTCTTACATAATATGACTTGATCTTGATGAGATAACAGCTAGAACTTTTGACAAGAGTCTTGGATTCATTGCAATCTTGACAGACCCATGACCTATGGAAAAGCTCCCTACTGCAGTTGAACATTGATGAACACAAATAACACAAGATTGTACAACATTCTTGATAGGATGTGTTTTACACTACTTTTTGACTTTAAATAAGCACACATTACGTATGTGGGGGGCATGCATATCAAAACACCAGGGCTTTTTGGATGTTATTATACAACAGACTCTTAGATGAAAGGAATTGGTCCTTTTAATAGAAATAGATTAATATTTTTCTGTTAACAAGGGTAAGGCAAAGGTTTCTTTTACTCTGAGCGTGTTTTACATGGTAAGCATTAATTTATGTTCCATAAGCAGGTTTTTGGATGGAAGGCATGTGTTAAAATTCCTGTTTCAATGAATAC